TTGTGGTTACTAAACTTATCCAAGTGGGAGACTGTTGGATTAGTGTCTAAGCCCGTAACCATATTTGGTAAGTACTTGACCTAGTTGTGCATGGTCCTTTTGGGTTGCCTTCACCAAAGCAACTTGATTAGAGAAATAAATGGAGAGAGAGGTTATTATGATTTATTAATATATTATAAGAATAATATATTAAAAGAGAAATCATATTTGTTTAATTAATATTGGTCAATAATTAATTAGGAATTAATTTTGTGATCAAGTGTATTTAATTAAACTAGAGGGATTGAATTGTAATTATGTGATAGTTGCAAAATAGGGCAATGGTTATCCTAGTTGTAGGATGGACGAATTTAAAGGATAAGATATCGTTGAAATCGTCCAAAGGTCCAAGGGGATAAGGGTTATCAAGGCTTATCTTTTGATTGCTTGGTGGGCAAGTAACTAGATAAAAATAAGGAGTGAAACCCTAATCTCTACCCTATATAAAGACCCTAAGGCCTTAAGAATTTGTACACTTGCTTCTATGAGATCCCAAGGCCGATTTCTACCTCTCCCCTTCTCTCTCTATAGCCTCTCCAATTGCTTATGGTGTTTCTGAACCATTCGAGGTACTACACTTGTGGTACTTGCTTTCAATATTTTGGGTTTGAAGATTTAAGTTGTTATTGCAATATAACAACAAGAGGTATGTGATCTAACCTTCTATGTGAATTTCGAAAATAGTAGGCCACATTAGGGTTTTATTCATGTGTTCGTAATGTTGTGAATCTAATAGTGAAAAGATAGATCCAAATCTAGGGTTGCATGCACACATAGGATTATATGTATAAAACCCATCAGCTTCTTCAAGTCGCCTCCACCAAATTCACTTGTCAAAGCTCCAAACATTCTCCAAGCTCTACTCACGGCTATTAGGGTTTCTGGGACGCAAAGGGAGTGTAGAGAGGCTGAAGAGAGGGTAATATGTCCTTTATATAAAGCACAAACTTCGGATTAGGGTTTTTCTCCACCCAGCACCAACTCGCCGAGTCACTCCTTCGACTCGCCGAGTTGGTCACTTAACACATGACAAATTCGCGACCCGACTCGCCGAGTCTACCGATTGACTCGCCGAGTTGGTTTTCTATATTTACACTAAGCACCCTGAACTTTGCTCTTCTGAACTCTGGGTGTTACAATAATGTTGCTATAGAGCTTCGGACAAACTGACGGCAACATATAATAAATATCACTATTTATACGTGCATAGTATAGACGATGTATACTAAATATCAATATTTATACGAGCTGAGCGACAACGACATATAATAAATATCACTATTTATACGGACAAAGTGATGACGATTTATAATAAATATCACTATTTGTTGGGGCAGAGTGGGAACAACATATACTAAATATCACTATTTATACGTGCAAAGTCTCGGCGACGTATAATAAATATCACTATTTATACAGAAAAAGTGACGGTGGCATATAATAATTATCGCTATTTATATGGGCAGAGTGATGACAGCGTATACAAAATGTCACTATTTATATGGGAGAGTGACGACAACGAATAGTAAATATGAGTATTTAATAAGGGAAAAGTGAATATGTGGCTGCCATGTATGTAATATTAGGTATAGAACCATCAAAATCGACTTCATTTTGATTAAAAAAAAATTACAAATTTTATCATTGTGAGCTTCTTCTTATTGCTTTTGAGCTCATATTATCTCCGATTTAATAATTTATCCCAAACATCTATGTATTTCGAATGTGTTGTTTATATTAGACTTCTAGTAAGCTTCATAACTCTCTTTGACACCTACCATATGTATACTTGCATGGTTCTTTTTAATGTGTTATGAGAAGAAGTTTATTGAGTTTTTAATGAACAATTTCAATCTTTCATTATAGTTCTCTATATTAAATTTGAATATAAAGGCTTATAGGTAGTTAATAATGTATTCTTATACATGGTTTGTAGTGCAAAAATAAATATTTAAAACTTCATAAAAATATGTACAAATCCTATCATCTAGTCTAATAGATGATACAAGAAAGATGATAGAGAGATTTGATTGTATTTAATTAAAATTTTGAAGTTTTTGATGGTTCTATACTTAATATTAGGTACATAACAGCCACATATTTCCTAAGCCCATTTAATAATTATCAATATTTATACGAATAGAGTAATGAGATAAATATGTTTTTGTAAAAATAATATTTTTAATATAATGATTATAACGATATATAACAATTGGTAAATAATTAATATACATTCCCCCTATATTTTATAACACTTTGGAATAAATGATCGTGAAACTCACCCTTTAAGCATTCTTTATCAACCCTAGACTACGGTTAACGACGTCGGGGCTCTAGATTAATCGTCTCGACAGGATAATAATAATAATAATAAAACAAAATGCAAAATAACTAAAATGAAAATAATATAAAAATGAACTTCATATCACATATATATATATATATATATATATATATATATATATATATTATATATATATATATATATATATATATATATATATATATATAATTGAAGTATCCATCCAATTCAAATAACAACTTGGCTATTTATAAGAGTGAATGGTCTCGTGGGTTTTGGTTTTATAATCACCACGTGTTCTAATGGTGTAAATCGTTTTACTCCACAAAACTTTGTGGTTGTATTTCAAGTGTTGTGTTTCATTAGTTAACCTCAAATTATTGTTTATATACTTATTTAGGATAGTTGTATTACGTTAAATTATATATATATATATATATATATATATATATATATATATATATATATATATATATATATATATATATATATATATATATATATATATATATATATGAGTAAGAATGCAATATTTTTTGAGTTTAATCGGTAATGAGGTTTACTTCTTTAGTCTATAAGAGGCGTTTGGAATGTGATTTATTCATCTGTGCATATTTGTTTTTTGTTTGTTTTTTAATATAGATTTATTTCTTGTCGATGATTATAATCGTTCTTTATTAATTTTTGATTAAAACTGTATGTGGTTAATGAGTTAAGCACTTTGTTGACAATAATACAAAAAATTTGTTTGATTTCTTTTAGATGGGTCGAGTAAATACGGATGACCTAAATGATTGTAATGACAAAGGATGAATAAACATCTTCAACAAGTTGGAAGGAATAGAAATGTATTTTATTCAACAGGTAAGGGTTCCTTTTTTTTTTCTTCTTGTTTGATTTGGCAGCGAAAATAAAGGGAGTGACAGGAAGGAAGCCTTCAATCCACCTTGGGCTACGATGAACTCAATAATACCGATTCACTCTTGATATCGCTGTAGTCGATCAACAATAAAAAACGGATCATGAAGGGGGGTGCATGAATGTTTGTATTTATTTTTGAATAGCACGTGTATTCATTTATGAATAACATTGTAGTTATGTGTGAATGATTGTATTCATTTATTAATAGTAGTGTATTAATGTGAATGAGTGTATTTATTTATGATTAGATGTATTCATTATATGATAGAATGTGTATTAATTTATAAATAACAATGTATTTATTTGTGAATTGCAATGTATTCATGTGTGAATGATTGTATTTATTTATGAATAGTAGTGTATTCATGTGAATGAGTGTATTTATTTATGATTAGAGGTATTCATTTTATGAAGAAATGATAATTTTTACACTATTTTTATTTTTCAGTTGATGAAAAATGCATTGAATTTTTTGGGATTGGATTTCTATTTTTTTTTTTTTTGAAAAACAAAAACATGAAATAGTGAAAAATAATAATTTTTTAAGATTTTCTTTTCAGATTTAAAATAAAAAGAAATATTAATTTTTTTTGAAAGGGTCACAAATTATTTTTGGTAAAAATCATAAAAAAATATATTTATATATTTTATTAACTAAAAGGAAATATTAATTTTTTTAGGTAATTAAAATCATTATTCCTAGATTTTAGGAAATCATTAATTAATATTTATATAAAGTTACTAATATACCCTTATAAAATGATAGGTTCAGAATTGTTCTCGCGTTCTCAACCTTTTAGGTGTTCTCATTTGATCCTCTCCCTATATATATATATATATATATATATATATATATATATATATATATATATATATATATATATATATATATATATAATTGTAAATGTTATGCTATTTCTATATAACTCAGTATGTCTAAAAAAAATCCAGTTGTAGAAGAATGGTCTTCTTACCATGAGTAGGAGATCTAGCCTCTTTAATAGGATGCATGGATCCATAATTTTTACTACTAAATAGCCCTCCATTAATCATAGTTTTACTAAAATTTAATCCTCTCTTTGGCACCTACTAAATAGCCCTCCATTAATCATAGTTTTACATTAATTACCCTCATTGAGGTTTTTTACTTCAAAAATCTAAAAAATACATTAAATTTTCATAATTTTATAATTTTTTGTATTTTTTTACCCCGATTAAATTTGGTTTTAGATCCGTCATTTTATGGTCACATAATTTTTTTTTTCATATTCATAGAACTAGGTTCAAAAATCAGGGATATATAATATATCCTACATGGAAAAGCCCGTTTGTTGCAAGAGAAACCAAGGTCCATTATACCAAGTCTTATGTGTGTGTAGTTTTACTTTTGTGAGTGGTAGCCCATCGTGTACTATATATAGTGATTAATGAATCTAACAAATTAACTTAGTGTGCACAACTTTCGATTCAATGTTTGCAGACACCTAAAGAACAATGATCCTTAGAAGCATAGCCACAACACGTTTTATGACATAAATTCAGATCCAAAATTCCCAATCCTTACCCTGTGCATGGTACAATACTTTTGACATAAAAAGGCCTATATGTTACTACATAACCAGTAAAAATAAAAGGACCATGCATTAATTATTCCCTTTAAAGTTATATGGAAGTATATCCAATCAGCTTGGTTAGTCCAAAAGTGATGGCCATAGCCATCAACCCTCCAAACAAAACCCTAAAACAAGACTTCACCACAGGAGTGCCTCCAAACAATCACTCCTAAAGAAAATGCAAGAGCTAATGGTACAGCTGCCTGGATAGGATTTGGTAGCTGTTCTTTTTTTTTTTTTTTTTTTTTTTTTTTTTTTTGTTGTTGACTTCTCTTCATTTGAGCCACTTCTACATCTAGCTGAGAGTATACTGAAACAAATTCCCCTATTGCCATACTGCATGCACCTGCAACTAGTCCGGCAAAGCCAGAAAGAATCATAGCTTTGACGTCTTTTTTCACAGCTCCAACACCTATCATTAGAGATGCAACAGAAACCAAACCATCATTGGCTCCCAAGACAGCTGCACGAAGCCACTGTCCCCTTTGTGAGTAATCGATGTCTTCCTCTGTAGACATTTGGCATTGTTTAGGATCTGATTTGTCTTTAGGTTTTTGAACACCGACATCATATTGATTAGTGGCCATGAAGGTGAAAGAAGAAAAAATATATATAATATAAAAGATTATTGAAGATTTAAGAGAACGAAATAAAACTGGCTTGTGGAAGAAGAGTTTCCCGTAGAGGATATTTATAGATGGGAAGGACCATCGAAATTAACTTGAAAACACAAAACAACTAACCAAACTGTAGGTGATGCAATTAAAAGAATAAGATTGTATTTAAAGCACATGCAAGACTTAATTTGATAGTGTGACTTGAACTTAAAGAAAACTAATTATGGTTGTCTTATTGATCGCCTTTCTATTGTTTATACTTAATATTAATATTAATTAATATTCCTATTAATTAAAACGTAGAATTAATTTTTAGATGCAACAACTAATCATCTATAGTATCAGAAATATTTTGTAGCATTCTACAACGTCAATTTTCATGTGTTATGTTCTTCATTATTAAGAAAAAAATATGTATCAATAACCGATCGAAAGAAGTTGCATGCAAAGGAAAGTAAAACTCCTAAGAAAGTAGTGGGCTGTGTAGGATACCACTAGTAAAAAATCACGAGTGATTTGGTGCATTTTCAGTGAGTATATAAAATTCAAAGGAGTGTGTACTCCACACTAAAGTTGCAAATATCAATAGTTATATAATCTGAGGATCGTGGAATCCACACGAAGGCCATCACCACTTCCATAAACAATGGAATGTCCTTTAATTTCTTATTTCTAGTGGGATGGAATGGTCATTATATATGTTTTTGTATCTCTGCAAGACGCCAGTCACGGATATTAATTCTAATCTAATTGATAGAGTTCGGCACATTAAAGAAGTATTACCTAAATTTCTCAATACATGACTCTCTCACCTTGATCCGGAAATTGCAACCGGATCTTGGCATTCTCGTTCAAATACATGGGTATTGAAAAAATGGTAGACTAGTAGAAAAAGAAGAAGCAACAACTAAGTTTTTTTTTCATTTTTTTTTGAAGGAAAAAGAATTAAATGGAAACTTACTCGCAATATTTCAACGAGTATCCTGGGTTCGAGCTTTATTAGGGCTAGGTGGGTTGCAAACTTTTAGATGTTGGATGGCAAATTCCCTGACTGTCAACATCAAAACAATACCCAATTAACCATTTGAGTTTCAATACATAATCATAATCCCACACTTAGGGTAAACTCATACCATATAATGAGCAATTGCAATGATATTTACCGGTGCTAATAGTGCACAATGTTACAGTATTTATTAATATGCAAATTTTTTTTAGTTTAAAAAATAAGCAATTCCGTTGAACATAAATGTTTCGACGTCAATTAAAAATAAAATATTATATAATTATTAGAAAATATTTTTAGTGGAATTAGAAAACTTTACCTTTTATTGTGTTTATTTTTGTGATAGGTAGCAATAATTAATTATAATAGTGGACTTCATTAAAATATTTTATTTTTAATTGATGACAAGGCGTTTAACTATATATTATTTTTGTTTTTTCTACTATGCTAAACATATTTTACAAAAAGAAAGAAAAACTGAAATAAAAAAAAAATTAAAAAAACTGATATTTTAAAAAAAGTCAAAACAATAAAAATTTGGGCCAAAAAAAACTGATATTTAAAATCAAATAAAAACAGTAAAAAAACTAAAAAATACAAGAAAAATAAGAAAAACATTAGTTTGGTAAATATTTTTGAAACTATACTGGATTAGTAAATATTTTTTTTTCCAAAAACCCTATTTTTGTTAAAACTCGACTTTGGCTAGCAAGTGATGATGGGCCGAACCAAAGTGGGGGAGACCCAAACCTTAAGGTGAAAGTTCGAAAAGTAGTTCAACATTCAATATTCGACGTCAAGGTCCAGGAGAGTAGCAATACAAGTACGTGGAAGTCGTTAGTTTCATTTATGTTAAGCGAGTAACCGAAAAAGCAAATCTTATGTTAGATTACTCATCAGCTATGGGTTTTTTTCTTCTCAAGGAAATATAGGTATTTCCTCCCAAGCGTCTAATAGGATTTGGAATTTTTCAACCTCTTAGTTACAGCTCAGATAGCATAGAGAATCATATATATATATATATATATATATATATATATATATATATATATATATATATATATATAGGATTTAACCTCGTAGTAGAGAATTAGTTAGAAATTTAGTAGGTCGCATAGATTAACATAGAGAGCATCGAATACTCGTGACATACACCAGACTTAGGAATTCAATTTCAACCATCGTAAAGGATGTAGTTAACCCAAGCTAAAGGATTATAGTAGTAGGATAAATGTCAAGGACAAAGTAGTTTCTAAACTATAGGTAGAGACCCAAAGGAGGAAACCATTTGAAAAGGACTATGCCTATTAAGGACATGGTAATACCTTAGTGTAACTTTAGGCATCACCATAGATTATATGTTTAATTTACTTTTCCCTTTAGTCGATAAGCATAAGAATCAATAGAGAACTAGGATCTCAGTCAAACGTTTATAGGTCTACAATTAGACTTTAGCACCCATTCAATGTAGATTAAGAACCCCTAAATTAGTTGTAGTCTCAAAATTTAGAAAAAAAAAATCGATGGCGATAAGTAGATATCAAGGAAGGGTGATGACAAGAGAAATCTCGCATCAAAATCCTAGTAGTTGGATAAGCGTCACAATGTATCGTAAACCAATTACTCAAAAAATAGTTATACGTTAATATAGGTAATGTAGTTAGAGCTTTGTGAGAGGGCTATTTGGTAACATAGTGTTCATTATAACAGAAGATATGAAAGTTGTATGTTTAGTTCGTCGCTAATATTAGAATATTCGATCAAAAATTTTCAAGTCAGTAAAACCGTTATACTAATTTTGGTTAAATTTCGGATATTGAAACACCTGAACTGGGTTGAAATACCATTTCTAATCTATATTCATGTGTGTTTTAAGATATGTCGTAAGCCTTATGGGAGGTGTGATCCAGAAAGTGTATTTTATTAGGAGATCATAAATAAATTTCCTTAACTAACCGTCTTATATCGAGTTGAGTGTAACGAAATTTCACATCTGAATGTGACCATTCATCATGAAATACAAATTTAGAATGTCCCAACCGAGGAGTTCCTGGTTTTGGAAGACTTCGCGAGGAGCTCAAGAGTACGTCAAAGGCAGAAAATAAAGTTCTATGAGACATCTAGATGCAACAATGTCGACTAGATCTCAATAACTCCAATAAGATAGCATCTTGATGCCTTAGCATCAGGAATTCGGGGACGAAATCTCTATAAGTGGGGGAGTTTTGTAACACCCCATTTTTTACATTCCATAGGACTTAATATAAACCATTGTTTACATAATTTGAAGTAGAAAGTGAATTATTGATAAATCACTTTTAGCCTAAGGGATCTAAATGAAGAAGTTACGGCACATGAGACTATCTACATGATGTGGCACATTCTGGCGGCAACATGTGGCATGGTCGGCCGCCCAATCTTCGATGAGGCAAGGTGACGTGGCACCATGATTTTAGGATAAAAGGAACCATGAAGATATGACACATGGTACCTTATCGAACATGTGTATGCAGATGAGTGAGGCGACGACATGTAGTTGAAGCTTAAAGGAGCCAGAACCATCCTAGTGTGCAAAGCGCATGCCTAGAGTGTGTGGTGCACAATGTTTTATTGCCTATAAATATCTAGCTTTGTATAAGCTTTCATCCCCACACCCCTACATATCTTTTCTTTCAAATATTACTTACTTTTAAGATATTTTCCTTAGATTTATATATTGTAGCGAAGCCCTACAACACCACTTAGTGCTCAACTAGTTGTAATTTTTGATTAGGAGTTCCCGAGTCATTATTCTGCCAGCTTAGATCTCAGTTCTCATCAATTGTACTCTGTAAGTGAGCTACACTTACTGTGCCTCCATGTAGTTTATAATTATAGTTATAAGTCATTACTTGGAACCTATATTTAAGATATCTCAGTAATTCCAAGTCGATATACTGATTGATTTACTTACAGAAGAGCTGACTAGAATGGTCATGTTGGCTTGGTTGTTGGATTTCAAAAAGGCTATACGCTGAAATGGTTCTGCCTCTTAACTAACAAGCCTGGGTGATCCTTATTTGATGAATCTCTCAGTATTCATTAGGATTGATCCATTGAGATTAGTGAAATATCTAAGTTTTCATTACCATATTGTCATAGCGATTAATAGTATAAATTATTATATATTAATTTTTTGTTCTACATGCCATCTGTTAGTTGGATCGACAGTAGAATCACGCAGATAGCTGTCAATATTCAAATTCATTGTCAAGGTGAGTTCATCTCACTATATTATGTATTCCATTATATATCCATGTATATTAGGATATAGGAGCCAGTAGAGTGCATACCATAGTGTAGATTCTTTGTGCCTATATTGGATGACTTGTTAGGCTATTACTTGTAATGTTACTTGTGTATGAGATCGGTTAAGGGCTGAGGCACCTGTACCTATCTAGTGGTGACCTGAGAATACAAGTTATTTTGAAAGCGAGTATCAGCTTAATGTTGGTGAGATCATAAGTATATTAATGTCTGAGTTTGTATGAAAATGGTTGAAAGTTGTTTCTGTAAAATGTTTTGTACAATGTTTTGTATAACGTTTGAACTCTCCTAGAAAACCCTATGTTTTCTACTAATTGTAGCCTTTTACCAAGGCATCTCGTGTTCATGTATATGTCTCTTGTTAGAGTGTGTGTTTCCCAAATTCTGACTATCATTAACCAAAAATATAGTTACTACATTACCGTGCATCGTGTGAATATTTACGAAGTGAATGTAATGGGAAAATATTATCGTACCGTAGTATTTGTACTAAGTGACTACCGTGGTACTAACTACCTTAATACAAAAAGGTGTTTTCAAATAACATGTGATCGACCTGTATCCTGCTACCGACTCTAGTAAAACGACGATGTAAGATGCCGTAAGAAATGACATTTGGCACCCGTAGACTTGCAAGTCCCATTGTAGTGAGCAGCAA